TTCAAACAAAAATTGATTTCTTCAAATCAATTATTAAACAAGAAATTGCTGAAATTCCCTCTCAACCTTTTTCCAAAACAATGGTTATTAGAAATTCACCAACAAAGATTATTTCCTTTAAACAAGAAAACCAGTTAGTTGAAACCCAGTCAACTAAAGATATAATTCAAAATTCTTTACAAATATTTATTTCAAACTTATTCCGTGATTTTAATATCCCTTCAAATAATAAACATATTTATCAAAGAAATTCAAAAGAAATTCCTGCAAACAATAATCAGGAAGAAATTCCTAAATTATCTATATATTCTTTTATAACTTACAAACAGTTGCAGCTTGATAAGATAGAGGTACTTAATATTGAGTACCCAAGTCTCAAGGTGGAGTCTTATACAGAAGAAACATGGTTATCCAGTAAACACAAGGGACAAACAGAGGAGACATGGATCTTCAACAAATTAAAGGAACAACCTCAAATACAAGGAGTATCTAAGAAATCAGATCTGATAAATCTGACTATATCTCGAATCAATATTCCAAGATCCATCAGACCCAGCAAAAGGAGTCAAAAAATCCAGAAATTCAAATACATCCAGCATTTACATTCTTGTTTAAATAGAATTGATCATTCCTCTATTCAAACAAGAAATAAATGTCAAGCTATCAGACACATCCAATGGAAAGCTAGACGCATCGGGCAAAAACCTCAAACAAGATCTTCTCTGGACAAATCAGTCACCAAACAAGAGATTCAGGCAGAGTCTGTTTCAACAAAATTGGTCATTCATGAAATCGAAATCAGGATTGACCAAGAGGCAGCCTATACCCATGCCAAGAAGATTCTTATAATCTATCCAGAAAAATACCTTTTCAATCTTTTTACCCAATTTATCCCAAAAACTTCTCTTCCAAAAACCTACTTCTCAAACTTGCTTTTCAAACCATTAGAAAACCAAAAATTTTGGATTGAACAAAACTTTCCAATTTCTTTACCCAAACAAGAGTCCAAAATTCAAAAAATCTCCTTGATCAATGCCATACAAAACTTTCAAGGGTCTTCTACCCTAAATAAATCATATTCAAACTCTTTTTTACAAAATAATACTCCCAACCAAAGTCTATACCACCTCCAAATGTTTCATTATGATATTTTCAGGATAAAACTCAATATCCTTCAACACTCATACAATAAGGAAGACATCTATGAATGGAACATAGATGAAATGTTCAGATACAATCTTCCTATGACAATCGCAGTCATGTTGCATGGCTGCAATCAACTGATTGTTCATGTCCTATTCATAAGATTTATTGGGCAATTCAAAGGATGGTGGGAGGAACATCTCATCATTGAAGATAAAGATATTATTCACAATATTCTAGTCACAACCAACAGGGATAAATCTGATCTACAAGATGGGAACATCCTGCCAGGAACAATGTTATTCAATATCACATCTGATGATGATTCTGGAGTCATCCAAGAGGATTCATCAAAACTATTCCCAAGCTCCAGAAGATATCAATACATACTGCTGATGAAATCAGACAGAAACAAAGTTCACAACAAAGATTTCTTCAAAGGCCTTCTTGAAACCCAATACAAGAAGATTAAGTCTTGGGAAGAAACAACTGGTGAACAGAACCAACAAGCTGACAGGTTTCCCAATCCGACGAAAGATCAGCCCCAAGGAAGAAATCTTGGATCTTTTTACAAACAGTTTGGGCCATTGAGTTACCATACAAGGCCCAATAAACAACCCCAACCTATGGGTTTCAAAACCCTTTTTCCTTCTACAAAACAGCTGGCCTTATCCATTTTCAAAACCCATCTACTCAAATATACAAGCGAACATTTCCAAAAATTCAATATTTTAAGACTAGCAGCCCAATTGTCAAATCCTCTAATCGAATCAGATAGTTTCAAATCTGAACGAAAGGAAGATTATGACAAATACATTTCAACATCTTCTTTCCCAAACAGTGATGAAGATGAAAAAGAAGGATATATGATAACCAAAAATCATAACCTTCTTTTCAGCATCATTGAAGATATTCTTGAAATAAGACAACCATACTCGAACCAAATTTTCGAATCCTTTAAAAGATCTTTTCTTTGACATTCCAGAAAAAATTCCTAGACAAAATTCTTGTAAACCAAAAACTTATGGTTTCCAGGAAATTCTTGACAAATTCCTTATTCAACCTATGTCCCTACAAAAAACATTTAACCCTAGGAACCTGAATAACAATTCTCAGTTATTTCAGGAAGACTTGATTCGTATACGATTACTAATTATTGATAATTATGTAATCGAAACAAAAGCCCTAGTTGATACAGGGTCAGGCCAAAACTATATTCCTGAAAACCTTATCCCAACCCAATTTTTAGAATTCCTTAGAAAGACAAAAAATCCTATACTTGATATTGAATTCAAATTTTTAAATATACAAAACCAATTCTCAGATACTTTCTTCTTGACTGAGTATTTGACTAACCATATCATCTTAGGCGCATCATTTCTCAATCAACTGGCTCCTTTCCAAATTATCTATAAAAAGATAATATCCCAACGTTTTAAACTAACTAATTCTTTTTGCAGAAACATGGCAGGTGAAGGAAGTTCATCATCATATAATCCAGAAGAGAAAAACTATCTCTTCGATGGATACTCTACTTGGGAACAAACATCCCACGGAGGAATATCCAACATTCAAACCAATGAGTGCCAAGCACCATCAAACCAAGCTAATTGGGAATGGGTCCCTGAACAATCATCCTCAAACTGGATATCTGCGGAATCTACTTCAGAGTGGGTACCCAATGAAACAATCGCAAATCAATTCCAAGCAATTGATGAGACTGCAACAATAGACTGGATCCAGGGAATTGAAGAAGATGAAAATCCATTTTTAGTTCCTGAAGATCCTACTACTCAATCCTTCCAGATCAAACTCAGAGATGATAGATTCTCACAACTCTGGATAGAATATCACTACCTGGAAAATGAGCACAAAGAATCCAGAATCAGAAACTTTGATAGTATATTCTTTAAACAAGACACCGGTGAAAGAATTCCTATCTACCATATACACAAATACAATCACGTTGGAGTAAGAGAATCAAAATACTCCATACAAACTTTGAAGGAACAATGCTTCCTGCAAAGAAGATACATACAAAGACTAGTTCTCAACAAGTATTTGCTTGAGAAAAGAGGAGTAAATACACAACATTACAAACAATGGATAAAAGAAGCATCAGAAGAATTATCAGCAATGATTTGCTGAACAAATGCTTCTAGATATATTCAAACTGGCTCAATCGGAACAAAATTTAGAAAAAATCATTTTTTACTGTAGCACCGGAAGAACTGTAGCAATCCGGCAAGTTACTGTGCAAACACGGCAACAAAAGACAAACGTTGCACTGTAGCGCGCACTGTAGCGGGTACTGTAGCGGGTACTGTAGCACTACGGAAAAATTGCTATAAATACCCCTCAAACCCAACACATTCCACACACCATTCTTACACCAATTCTTCAAGACTACTTCTCTCTCTAGGTTGAAGAATCCTCCTCCCTCTCTCTACAAACTAGTTTTTAGATTTTTAGTTTTCATCAAACAAAGGAGCTTGAAGCTTCATATCCTTGTAAGTCTTCTTTACATTCTTGTATTCTAATTCAATCAAATGGTTGGCTGAGCCACCTACATTCATATTCATTTACTTGTTTTTATTTATTTTGATTATACTAACCATATATGGCTGGTTATACCGCCTGAACTAACGACTAACTTGTTTTTATTCCTTTATTTACATTCTGTTTATACATGGCTGGTCTAACCGCCTATACTAACTAGTGGCAGTCCGGCTGCGACCTACTTCCTAACTTTTATGCTTTCCTCCTTTATTCTTTACTTGTTCCTGGTTTAAGGGGCTAACCCCTCGTCCCGTCTGGTATCAGAGCTAATCACCATGTAAAGTGAAATCAAATAGAGATATATTATATGCTAATCTATTTGATTTCATCTGAATAGTACAAAATAACATGTAATGTATCTTTATTTGATTTCACCTTCAAGCAAAATCAAATAGAGATACATTATATGTTATTCATATTGTTTAGACGAAATCAAATAGACATATACATGAATTTAAAACAAAAGTTATTCATATACATGATTAATGAGGAATAAAAAAATTTATTTTGTGAAATGTGAGGGATGAAAAAATTCATTTTATGAAATATGAGGGACTATAGATTGGATTATGTGAAATTTGATTTAATAATTTTACTGCTAAAAAATATCGCATGCAAACACATGGTGGATTTCGAACAAAAACTAGTAAGAAATTTAGGTAGGGATCAAATTTGACCAATGTGCATTTGTAAATGATATAAAATTACACTTTTAAAAGTAACGGACTAAAAATCATTTTACAAAATATGAAAGACGTTTTAAAATATTTTTCAAAAAAAAAAAAGTAAAACAAGAACAAATGAATCAAGTGTAAGAATGTAAACTACACAGGAAAACACTTTTTATGTAACATGCTGAACAAATCTGGGCCGTGGAGCTAGATCAGAAGATAACAAAATGAAACAGAAAATGAGCATACAAAGAATATTTCAAGATAGGGAATGTTGAGTAATGTGCTGAATCAATTAGCTTGATTAATGAGGTAGTTGGAATGCTCTCTAGATAATTGGAATGTTCTCTAGAATGATGGAAATTAAGAGAGTTTTTGGGGTGGTTGGAAGACTTCCCTATGTATCTAGAAAGATCATTTACAAGTATAAATAGACCTTGTAAGCTCCAAACCATTATAAGTGAGAGTGAAAGAAATAAAAGGAAGAAACAATTGAAGCTACTCCTGTCTCCAATTTTTCTTCTCAATTCTTGGCTAATATCCAACAAATTGGTATCAGAGCTAAGGTTTCATTGCCTTAGTTCATACCCTAAAACCAGAAAAATTTGAGGGATTTCCAACTACAAGATGGCCAATCATACTAGTGATGGTCTTCCAATTCCCATATTCTCCGGTGAGCACCATGATAATTGGTTCGTAAAAATGAGAACAATTTTCAGATCACAAGATTTGTGGGAATATGTAGAGAATGGCTATAGAGAACCAGAAAGTGAAGAAGGTCTCACCAATCAAGAATTAAAGGCACTTAAAGAACATATGAAGAGGGATGCAAAGGCTCTTTCACATATCCAGCAAGGTGTGAGTCCATATATTTTTTCAAGAATTATGGGAGCTGATCATGCCAAGGAAGCTTGGGAGATTCTACAAAAGGAGTTTCAAGGAAATCTCAAGGTAAAGAATGTTACTCTTCAAACTCTTAGAAGAGATCTTGAAAATTTGAAGATGAGTAATGATGAAAGTATTCAAAATTACTACACAAAAATCACCACAATTATAAATGAAATGAAAACCTTTGGTGAAGAAATTAGTGATAGCAGAATTGTTGAAAAAATTCTTGTTAGTTTGCCTCCAAAATTTGATCCAATGGTATCCATAATTGAGGAGACAAAAGATATTTCTTCAACGAGTGTTCAAGAGTTGATGGGATCCTTGAAAGCTCATGAAAGAAGATTGGCTAGACATGCTGAAAAATCTGTTGAAAGCGCCTTCCAATTGAAGCTGAATTTCACCCCCAAAACCAATGAACTAGAGCCATCTTGCAGCTACCAAAGAGGTGGAGACTCACAAAGAGGCGGTAGATATGGCCGCGGAAGAGGCAGAGGCAAAAATTCAAGAGGAAGAGGAAGAAACAACCTTCAAAGAGGCCTTAATGCTGAAAATTCACAACCTTGCTATTATTTTGGCAAGACCAATCACCTTGAGAAAGACTGTTGGCACAAAGACAAGCCAAAGTGCTACTATTGCAAGAGATTTGGCCATATTGAGAAGGATTGCAGATTTAAGACCAATCACCAAGCACAATTTTCAGAAGACAAGCAAGGAGAAGGAAACTTATTCTATGCTTGCCACATAGCCACTGAAGTCAAGAACAATATGTGGTACCTTCACAGTGGTTGTAGCAATCATATGACAAGAGATAGATCTATTTTTATTAACTTGGATGAATCTATAAAGACTGAAGTGAAGATGGGAAATGGAGTCATAGCTCAAGCACAAGGATTTGGAACAATTAGTGTCCAAACCAAGCAAGGTATGAAGTCCATTCGTGATGTTTTATTTGTTCCTGATTTAGACCAAAATTTATTGAGTCTTGGATAGCTTCTTGAGCATAAATATGCACTTAACTTTAATAATTACGAGTGCTACATCTATGACAAAAAGGATGGTAGACAGCTTGTGATGAAAATCCAAATGCAAGCAAATCAAAGCTTTCCAATCAAATTCAATTATAGTGGAAATCAAGCCTTGAAAGTAAATGTCAATGAAGATTCATGGTTGTGGCATAAGAGGTATGGCCATTTAAATTTTCATATCCTCAAAGTGCTTCAACACTGAGGGATGTCATATGGCTTACCAAGAATTGAGGAGAAACATGAAGTTTGTGAAAGTTGTGCGCTTGGCAAACAACACCGGCAACCATTTCCTAAAGGAACTGCATGGTGAGTCAAGAAGATCTTGGAGCTGATTCATACGGATATTTGTGGATCCATGAAGACAACTTCTCATGGAGGTAACAAGTATTTCATCATTTTCATTGATGATTTTTCAAGAATGACTTGGGTCTATTTCATGCAAGAAAAATCCGAGGTGTTTTCAATTTTTAAGAAGTTCAAATGTCTTGTTGAGAAACAAAGTGGCTGTTACATCAAGAAGGTGAGAAGTGATCGTGGTAAGGAGTACACCTCAAATGCATTCCAAAATTTTGTGAAGATGAAGGTTTGGAGAGGCAGCTGACTGTTGGCTACACACCACAACAAAATGGAGTCTCGGAAAGAAAGAACCAAACTGTGATGGAGATGGCAAAATCCATGTTACATGACAAAGGGTTGCCAAAGAAATTTTGGGTTGAAGCCGTTTATATAGCTGTGTATTTGCTCAATAGAAGTCCTAAAAAGGCCGTGTGGAATCAAACTCCAATTGAATCATGGAGTGGAAGGAAACCATCAGTGAAACACTTGAAGGTTTTTGGGAGCATTTGTTATGCTCAAATTCCAAAAGAAAAGAGGTACAAGCTTGATGAAGTAAGTGAAAAATGTATTTTTGTTGGTTATAGCTCCAAGTCTAAAGGTTATAGATTGTTTAATTTGAAGACTAACAAAATCATTATTGGTCGAGATGTTGTATTTGATGAAAATGCTGTTTGGAATTGGGATGAGAAAAAGATTGTGAAGCAGGGTTTGGCATCATAAAGAAGAAGAAAATTCAACAAATGAAGAAGAAAATGGTGATGATTCAACACCAACAAGCAGTCCACCATCATCTCCAAATTCAAGTTCGAGTTGGAGTTCTCCAAACACAGCTCCAAAGAAAATGAGGAGTTTAAGTGATGTTTATACAAGATGTAATTTTTCCATTCTTGAACCAGAAAATTTTGAAGAAGCATATGCAGAAAAGGATTGGAGAAAGGCAATGGAAGATGAAATTTATGCAATTGAAGATGGTGAAGTTGAACTAAAATTTTGCAAGAGTGAAGACCAAGTTGCAGACATCTTTACCAAGGCACTTCCAAAAGACAAGTTGAACTATTTTCAAGAGATGCTTGGAGTTCAAGAATAGAACATTAAGGGGGAATATGTTGAATAATTTGCTGAATCAATTAGCTTGATTAATGAGGTAGTTGGAATGCTCTCTAGATAATTGGAATGTTCTCTAGAATGATGGAAATTAAGAGAGTTGTTGGGGTGATTGGAACACTACCCTATGTATCTAGAAAGATCATTTACAAGTACAAATAGACCTTGTAAGCTCCAAACCATTATAATTGAGAGTGAAAGAAATAAAAGGAAGAAACAATTGAAGCTACTCCTGTCTCCAATTTTTCCTCTCAATTCTTGGCCTAATATCCAACAGCGAACAACACTTTCTTACATTATCCGCTGGGGTCGTTAGTTGAAGGAACTAAAGCTGATAAAGACTTGGGACCAAAAAAGAGGCTGATAAAGACAAACTACACGCAGGAGAAATGACTCAAAACCTAAGATCAGTTCTCAAATTAATTATTGTTGCTTAAACTATTAGCTTGTCCTTTTATTTTTTTCCTTTGCTCGACAAATCCATGAAACAACTTTTCACAGCTTATTGATAAGAGAGAACTGCAGTTGTAAAAAGGATAAGAACAACTACAAAGGATGAGAAGTGAGCTTGCCTTATTTTACCCCCCCAAACAAAAGAGCCTATATAGAAATACATAATGCACTATCAATTTCGTAAACTTTTTATTTTTGCTAAAGTATTACATGAAACTGTGGAAATTTGTTGGTTTAAATAAGAGATGGGTTAAATCCACACTTATATAGCCTAAATCCACACCCGTAATGTATTAATGACTTGTATCTCGAGTATTGATAATTTGTACTATTAGTATTAAAAATTATAGTAGGTGTGGATTTAAACTGTAAGAGTGTGGATTCAGTATTACCCTTTAAATAATTAAGAAAAAACTTCATAATGTATAAAGATTTACGCACATTGCACAAATTCATAATGCCTTTTCTGTCTGCACGTTTACCGTAGACCTTGTTTTCATAGGGCTTGTGCCCTCGTATAATGTATAGACATTCATGCACATTGTACAAGTACATAGATTCTGAGGAATTTTGATCGTGTCTCTAGTCCGTATAGGTGAGGGCTTTGGTTTACTATGGTTGGCCAACAGAGGGAAGGGGAACAAACAAGCGTATAGCAGAAAAAAAAATTCCAATGGAATAAATCAGGGGAAAGGGGCAACCACCGCACAACATGAGATCTCAGAGAGCTATACCTTGATCAATGAGCCTTGCTCATCCTACCAGTTCATGGCTACTATAATAAATCATTGTTAAAAGACTTTCTTGTGAAGTTACTCATCATCTTTCGTCCTGTTCAGACATTGTCAAGCCTGAAATGTAGCCAACTTCAACTAGCTACCTGTCAAGGCTAAAATCTAGACAAATTGATCTAGGTACCGTAATCAACCTCGAAAACATAGCATAGATCTTTTGCCTAATATAATTATCGAGAAGGAAATCAAATTAACATGTGGAACCCCCTCAGTATAGGAATCACGTAAAGAACTCGCTTAACCTACAACTCTGAACTCCACAAATTGGGAGGCAAAAGCTCTTGCTGGAAGACCTGAGATGTTGTATCCCTAGCCTCCAGCCAAAACTCAGGAGGCTAAGGAGGACATGTAAAACTCATTCAGTTTCAGCGCAATAACCCTGGCATCACATACTTTTTCATTTAACTAATCAATAGTTCTTAGCCTCATCATACAGAAGCTGGAATAATCATTCTCATGTTCAGCTTTTCTCAAAATTTACCAAAGAGATTTGATATAATTATAAATCAAGACGATTTTCAAGAGAGTAACATCAGCTATGCTGATTTTTTGGTCAATACATTTGAAATTCTCATCCACTGTCAAACTGTTAAGTTGTTTATCGAATCTTTTATCTTAAAAAATGAAGTTTGTACTATGAAAATATAACACTTTCAAGGACATTAGCAAAACTAGCTAGGGTTACGAGTTAAAGAGATTAGACTTAGAATCAGATGCTTCATACTACTTGAGCTTCATCTTCATAAAAAATTCATGTGCCAAAGAACATTAAGAACTCTTGGAGGACCTATAACACATGAAAATAAGCTATCATCTCCTGAGTAAACATTAGATGTACATACCACTGGAAACCTCCTATAAGTGCCCAGATTCTTATCCACATCTTCAGCAGAATTAGATAATTCTCCAACTACATGTCAGTGCTTTCAAACTTCATTACAATGAGATACCTGAATTTCAAAAGCTATCGCCTAGAAACTTATGATTGATGCAGACAGGTCCAGTGAGAATGGCTTATAGATAGAGTCTGTCAGTGGCTTCCACTTAACAAAATGACCACAAAAGCATATGCAAAAGTACTTAAACTGGTGAAAAATGTTACTGCTAGTTCCATCCCTTGGCTGAGCAATCATCATTTCCATTTCCATTATCTGAAACAAGATGACAAATTCAGTCCAATAGAAAATGCCCAAAAGGTATCATGAGTTAAATGCTCAATCCACCTTTAACTTGGAATCAAGCATGATTTATACAATAAGCAACATCATGTGAATTACCATAACTGAGAGGATAAGCGCAAGCTTGTTAAATACGCTATGCAAACTTCAAGCCATTAAACCAATCAAGATATGTGTAATTATCCACGAACAGGCAATCTCCATAAAATGAATGTCATCCAAAGAACAATATAACATATGCAGCTCAAGTGTTAAATAACAACATTCAGAAGCACATCTTGCACATCCTGCCAATTACTCAGTCACATTCAATACAAGCAGGTAAAATATGACAATCATAGCTAGATCCTTGCTAATGGATTAGGATCAACTCTGAGGTCTCCCTCCTCATAAGTAACATCATCATCAACAGTACCTGCTGTCCTGGGAAGACTGCCCTCACTATGACCAATTTCACTAGGTTGACTAGTGGCACCGGCTGTCAGACCAATGTTACGACCCTATGAAAGAAAGTGAGGAATAGAAAAGAGTCATTAGTACTGTTAGGTAGAATCACAAAAATATAGTCATTGATCACGTCATATGAGTCCAGGATCAACTTGACCATACTTGAAACAAGATGTTGGACATAACTATAAACAAGCATTTTAAACATTGAATGTACATCTCAATACCACTCGCATCAGGTGAAATGTAATCTGAAATAGCACCAGAATATCATCTAAAGCTCCCTGTGGTGTGGGACAGGAGAGTAGGTTAAAAATTTAATGCAACCAAACAAACTGACTTGTTGTACAGAGTTTTGACAAGAAGTTAATGATAACGACAATCCAATTAAGCAACACGCTCATAAGATCTGAACACTTAAATCTGAAAGGGCATTTAAGCAGTGGAAAATACAGCAAGTTTGTTTGGCTTTTTAGGGGGCGGGGGTTGTGTAATATCCAAAACTGATCCAAGTGAACTACATAAAATATCTAAGGACATGGAATTCTACCTTCAACTGAATGATATGCCTTTGACAATGCTAATACAATCCATGCCTTGAAATGGATAACATGCTCAGAACTTTTGCAATATATGCCACAAATTATTCTTTT